CCATGCTCGTCCTCGCTCAAGCCGATTAGCGCTCAAGGCCGGTCCAGAGTCATCAGAGTTTCGAGCTTGCTTGATGAACAACGTACATGGGATGTAGCTGTTGTGTGGGCTAACTTTCTACCGACTGATGCTAGGGCCATTTTATCCATATGAACCTCACCACGACGTGAACCGGACTTTCTTGCCTGGTAGCCGGAAAAAAATGGTATCTTCTCTGTTAAGAGTGCTTATAAGCTTGGCCTCAGCTTGACAGAGCATGCTGGTAATGTGCCAGCCACAAGTACTAGGCCGAATGGTGATCATGAGATTTGGAAGAAGCCGTGGAGTTTGTCGTTCCTCCCAAAGTCCGTACCTTTGCATGGCGTGTAATCACTAATTCATTAGCAACAGAGGAGAACAAGAAAAATCATCATATCCCGATCACCGAAGTGTGCACAATCTGTGGGCAGGAACATGAGGATGTAAAGCACGCTCTTTATCGTTGCCCAATGGCTCGGGCTTTATGGCATGCCATGCGTGACGTCTGGGACCTTCCCTCACATGCGATTATGGAGCGTCTACAAACCGAGTGGATCCTGGAGCTCCTACTCCTACACACTGACTAGGACTGTGCTCGTATCCTAATGATACTCTGGAGAGTATGGCATGGACATAATGAGCTTACTCATGACAAGCCTTTTCCATCTATCGAAGGATCCCGAGGTTTCTTATGCAGTTACCTGGCGAGTTTATTGCAGATCAAGAACCAGACTAGTGAGCAAATTATCAGAGGAAAAGGTGTAGTGGATGGATCGGCCACAGTGTAGTTTCGCATAGGACACATGCTACAACCAATAGTTGGGAGAGATCACCTGCTGGCATGCTGAAGCTGAATATTGATGGGTCATACAGTGAGAGTACAGGTGTGGGAGGGGCAGGTATGATTCTCCGTGATGAACAAGGACGAATTGTTTTCTCTTGCTGCCAGTTTCTTAGCAGCTGCGGATCACCACCTGAGGCGGAACTAGGTGCCTGTATGGAAGGCATGTCCCTTGCAATGGAGTGGAGTCAGTAGGATGTCCTTGTTGAAACAGATTCCATGGAGGTTGCTAAGATGATTAATAATCAATCTCGATATAGCTCACAGCTGGGTCATCTAGTTGAGCACGTGAAGCATCTCGTGAAGCAAGGGAGGCATTTCATTGTCAACAAAATATCCCCGGAAATGAACCAAGCGAGCGACCTGCTTGCTTGTTTTGGTCGTCTAGAGGAACGAACAGTAGTTTGGTTAGGATCACGGCTTGATGAAATATTAGACCTCATCCTACAGGATTGTAATGTGACTTATTTAATCAATACAATCCCTTTACCCCACAAAAAAACATCGAGTGGGTCGAACGATCATCTTAAGGATGTTGCTACATAGAAGATGAGCTCTAGTCGATGTTGTCCTTTTGCCTTCTAGATAAGTATACAAGGTGCAACACATGCTTACTCTCTGAGTTTGTTATTGTAGTTGTCTTCCATGGGTAGAAATTGAGGCATGTAAGTAAGTAGGTAGACAACTTTTGCACATAATAGCAACATGTGCTTTATTTGCATGTGATATATTCAATCTTTTGTGTACCTTGATCTAGGGTAGTACGTCACGTCATACACAAGGGAAACCCTAGGCCCCCATGTCGTCCCCCGCTGGCGACTCAGGTGGCAACTTAGTCACTTTGCCTCTTCTCCCTTCCTTTCCTCTTCTCTCTGGCCACCGCCGGTCAGTGTCACCTGGGTAAAGCCCCTCGCGGTGGTTGGTGGCGGGGGGGCTTCGTCCTTCCTGGCAGGTAGCGAGTACCGCCGGATGCGACGACCAACGGTGCTCGCGCGGGGTGCCTTGGCAGCTGCGCGCATGCCCAAGACAATGACACGATGGAGTTGTGATGGCCGCATGGTGGTGATGGTCCTCACGTGGAGCGCTTGGATCTGTGGCAACGGTCATGTTGGGGCATGCGCCTCCTTCCCCATGATGGGGACTGACGTGGAATGCTGGTGTGCGTCATATATGGCCGTTGGGCGGCATGATGACGTAGAGCGCAGAGCTCGATCCTAGGTTGGCCCTTTGACCTGATCTGAAGATGACGGTCCTCTCCCTCATTCCTCAGTCTTCCCTGCCGGCCTGGGATGCTCGCGACCACCTGTATGTCCGGATCTGGTTGTTGGTTTGAGCGTTGGGGTTGGGGGCTTTGAATCAGATGAAACCAATAGATATTTTATTTTTGTTGTTGCGCGTAATTCTTTAGCATGGTGGTAGTAATAATTTAAATATACCTTTTGGGCCACTGGGTGCTCCCACAGTAAGGGCATAGGAAGCTTTTCTGCATTGGATGGTCTTGTGGCAAGGAACATAGTTCACCCTTCTACAACGTTCAAGGTTTCCCCATCGAGATTTTTTTTTTGGCATGACAATTCAAAGATTTGTCCTTGATTATATGCCTCTTTACGGTTTAACAGTATATTAATTATGTGAACTGTATATATGTAGGTGCGTATCCGGGGCAAAATCGAATACCCTTGTTAAGATCCAATAGTTGTTCGATTGTACCATGGATAATTACCTTTTAAGTTTAGGGAAAAAAATTTAATTATATATATTATACCAAAGATCAATAGTTGAGATGCTTCACTCCATGGGATGAATATCACCACTATAGGGTGCTCTATATCGGTTTGGTTCCAAAATATACGCATCTTTATAACTTGTACAACAAAAGCACACAAAGCACAGTAACAGCAATGCGAACATCCAAGATCATGCATCATGGGCCACGCTTGCTTGGCTAGTTGAATAGGCAAATCTACTTTAGAAATACAAAAGAAAACTAACAACAAATCAACAATGTAGCAAAATAATTTTACTGCGTCTAGGTGCATAAGTCATCTTAGTGAACAACACTCATATCCTTGCTATAATTACTTCCTCCGTCCCATAATTATGAGACGGAGGGAGTGCCCACCTGCTACTTTATTAATTGATTGACATGCAGACGAGTTTATCCGTGAGGTACTCTTAATTAACTAAGCACTAATTGTTCGACCATCATCGACGGTGATGACCTGGCCAGTGATGAAGGATGCCGCTGGCATGCAGAGGAACGACACCATTGCAGCCACGTCCTCTGGCTCGCCTGCTTGCCGCATCGGAATCCTCGCCAACTCCTTCTCTAAAATGTCCGGTGCGAGCTGTTCCACTCACAAATGATCAGTTCTCCAAATGATTTGTTTCTTAGAAAAAACGATACTAAAGAGTTGTGTAGTAGGATTCTGCCAACTCGTTCTCTCTAATCTCCGGTAAAAAAGTCATAACAAATTAGGTTAAATAGTTCTGCTTGTGTATTTTCTTTAATGTAATTTTAATAAAGACTCAGTCGGTGCCTACACTGTTTAACATGTCACTCTTGGTCACGCCCGGGGCAACGCAATTCACCCGAATCTTGTTCTGGGCCCACTCAGTAGCAAGATTCCTTGTAAGCTGGTTGATTCCTTCTGCGTGTCAGGCGGTAAATTAGAGGCAAAAAAGACATGTCGGTTTTATGCCTAAGTTAAAATTTGGATCGAGTTGTGGCTATGGCCACGAGTACCTTCAATTAGAGCATCTTTGAGTATTGTCACAAATAGTTAGATT